CAGACAGACAGACAGACAGACAGACAGACAGACAGACAGACAGATAGACAGACAGACAGACAGACAGAAAGAAAGACGGAGGAAATGAGGAATGAATGGACGTAATGAACGGGAAGGAAAAGTAGGCATTACTAGACCCATCACGTCTCCCACTAGGTAACACACGAAGACTCCCTCAACCCCTCCCATTTTTCTCCACACACTAAGCTACACATCCACAAAAAAAGAAAAGAAAAGAAAAAAATATAACATAAAATAAAAATTAAGCAGCCTTTTTGTTCTCTAACTTTTCCCAGCCCCCCTCTACAAACACCCTTTTCCTGTTGCCCTTTCATCATATGTCTCTTAGAAATCATTTCGTATCAGTATGGGGTCTGTTCGAAACATTATGCAAATTTAATTAAATTGCCTCCCACCGAGTGCCCCAACACCCCCGTCTACGATTTATGAAAGCCACGCGAGGTGGGGGAGAACGAGAGCGGAGATTAGGGGAGCTTAGAGCAGGGCCGCGCTAGGAAGTCGGTACATACATGATGATAAAGATAGGTGTAGCTGCGGCGCATGCGCGCGTATTGTCACTTCCTGTGTCTGTCTGTCTGTCTGACTGTCTGACTGTCAAGGATCTGATGTGAAAATCTTGCTAGATTATCTTTTAAAAACGGATTTGCAAGGGTAATCCCACTCCAGAGGGATGGAACGCACCACACCTTCCATGTTCGGCCTTCGAAGAGGGAAATATGTCGAATACGCTCCTTAAACATTGACATAACAGCAACAAGCACAATGAAAATTGCATCACCAACAACAATAACATCAGTAGTGACACCAGAAACAGCATCTACAACAACACCAACAACAAAAAAAGACCACCAGTTTCAGGAAGCCTTAGTTAGTTTAGTATGGGGTTTTAAGGCGCTCGCAACTGCATAAGGTCATATTATGAGCACGCGAAACAAGTTGGGTTTTTTTTCTCAACGGTTCATTTCTTAGCTTGATACAGGTCAATACTTCTATTAAAAATTTTTGAAACGCTAAAAATCGAGTGTAACTAGGCTTTAGATTTAAATCAAAATTTAAAACAACTTTCTAAACAACACTTTAAAATTTCGAACAATCTTATTCATAACTTTCCATAGAGGCCAATGAAGCCTTAGATTCTGAAATCAACGTTCTAAGCCTGCTCAGTCTCGTATAGAAGAAACGAGTCCAAATACCCGTCGCTCTCAACACCTTTTGGGTGCGGTGCACATTATCATTAAGTAAAGACAAAGAAGATTTACGCAAGAAATGGCAGGTTCGTTCATGTCTACATTAGTAACAATGTCTACTGTCTTCTCGCCGAGAATCTGACGTGTCCGTTATTAAGAGAATGTGGGAGGTCGGCGGGTGCTCTGGTGTGGTTTGCTTCTTCTTTCCTATCAAACATCTATCGTCTTTATCTCCCCTCCTTCTTTTTTTTATGTTTGTTACTTTCTTGTAACACCTCTCTAATCTTCTGGAGCTCATATGACCGTATGCAGTTGCGAGAACCGTAAAAGCTCTACTAAAACTAAAACTTGTTAAGAGGATCTATAATAATTGTTGTCCT